TTCGACAAGACACTGTTACAGACATACTTTTACGAATACTTTTTATAATGTTAAATTATTTTAATTAAGTTTGTTTCATGAGTTACATAAAAATGTACACGCAACTAACGTTAGCAGTCCATCGCAATTGCCTAGGTTTGCCCCACTTGGCAACCTCGCCAACGGAGGTTGGCACTGCATATAAATAAATCTTAGACGAAGACGGGGTTTCCCCCGGCCGCAGGCCGATTCGGTGAATTAGTTTCCCGCGTGTTTGAAGTAATACAAACAATTACTCATCCATTTAGTTTTAAGTAGCGTTTCAACTCCGATTCCTCGTAAAGCTGTTAGGATCGATAAAAGATTCGATTGCACTTTTTCATATTATACTGTATTGTGGTTTTGAGTTTCCCTGTATAAATAAATCGTGCCCAACAAATGCGTATATACTATATGTGTAGCATTAATAAGTGCGCACTTGAACATACGTACCCGCCTTCTCAAGATTCTGTGGTTGAGGTATTATTAACAGCGGGTCTTACGTTATCGCTGTCACGTGGAACACGTATTACGCTCATCTCGATCCTTTGTCACCGAGACGCATTTGAAACGGCGCTAGCTAATATCACATCCGAATACAATACGAAATCATCTCCCTCCCCCCCCCCCCCCCGATGCGTTCACGAGGGTCGAGGTGCGCGCGGTGTATTCGCCGTCGGGTAAAATGTGTACCGCCGAAGTGGTATCAAGGACACGCAAACGGCGGCGTCGCGACGCCGCCCTTGACCGTCGTCGGGCGCCGGCGGGGCCTGCGAGGTGAGGAGGTGGAGGGGCGGGGAGAGGGAGCGGGGGGGGGGGGGGGGGGACGAGAAAGTAGGTAAATAGCCGCGTTTTAGGGCGAGACGCGAGAGAGCACACGGTCTCAGTCTAAGCGATTCCCCTCAATGCGAACGGGAAACTTGCGCCGTGCGGTGTCGGTGTCTCTTGTATGTCTATTACCGTCGCCATAGCGATTGTTAGGAATACGGGAGCACCTGCTGAATGATAAAATGGTGATAAATAATTAATATCAAAGTATAGCGCAATGGTGAGCCGAACATCAATTGAATACGATTATGACTGTACCGCTGCAATGTTTGCCATCGTTTCTTCCTCAATCATAGTCAACACAATTACCCCGTCCAATCCAAACAGGCTATTAATTAGCGACTGTGAGTTCTAGTGCACAACTAGTGTTTTCACTTGTTTCTGTGTGGGGGACGAGGTGGCATCAAGTTTTGCGGTTTTTATGCATGCTTAGGCGATATTAAGATTTGTGTATAAAGTAAAGTAAATGTTTGCTATTGCTGGTGGATGTTCGACACAGTTTTTCAACAGGGTTAAGGGATTTTGGATTCGGTGGGTGGTAGGAGTATGAGTTTATTTTCTATTTAAATTGATAAACAAGTTGCAGTCTATTCGCATGACTTACAAAATTGCATATGAGTTGCGAGACAAATTAAAAAGCGGTTTCAAAGTAGTAAAAAAACGTTTCAAAACGTTTTTACTGTATAAACAGGTAATATGCTGTAACGTCACTATATCATATACATTACTATATTTATGAACAACATATTGCACTACATTTAAAGAAATAAACTTATTCTAATCTGTTATGTTAGTGGAAAAGCATTCTTCATGTCGCTCCTCGACTGCGACATATTGATTTGCGACTAGATGCTAATAATTGAGTTAAATTTAACACTACTAACGATGATTGTGCATTTTGTGATGATAAATATGACGCAACCTACAATGGTAAGTCGTTGTATGTGGATAATGTGTATTAAAATAACAGGTTTTCGATATGTAGCGATCTACAAAAGTTTCTTTTACATAGCTACTTCATGCTGACGCATCGCTCGTTTAGAAAAATGCGATTACAATCAGTTAACATGGTTAATATTTACGATTTGAATTAAAAATACTCTATTTTTGAAGACATTGAATAAATGAAAAAATTAGTTTTCCTTTAGTATTATTACATACAGTACTGGAGGAGCGAGCATTGCTCGGTTTTTTTTTTTGTAAATCGTGTAGTTTGGAAATTAAAAAAATAAAGAAAGCTATGATCTGGTAAAGAAAAAAAATGTAAAAAAAATAAGTGTGCAAATGATCGTGATACGAACCACGGCCTTATGTTTCGGGGCCGCCCGATTACCGACGAGCTATTATAGCATTTTTTTTGGCACATGCTAAATTACACATATATATATATAACGATTGCTCGTTTAAAGGTATTAGATATAGGTACTGTGGGTATAGACTAGTATATAATTTTATTATTCGGAAATTTATTTATTGTTTTGTTTCGTCATTAAGGTTTATCCTAAGAGAGTATAATAAAATATTTTAAATAAAAACAACTAGTACAATACAGTTCCCTCAAATATCCTGAAAACAGCTCTACTATTAATAAAAGCTATGATTTCTATGATGTCGTCTACAAACTTAACCTTAATAGGCTCTCTTAAGGGGCACTCTGCGCACGTGCCCCCTTGGCCTTGGACCGCCGTCCCCCCCCGCCAACGGTGACTGGGGAATCGATTCACTTTCGCGAGCATTACGCAACAGTCCCGGGAACCGTATTTTTGTTTTATTTGTATTTCTTTTTTCGCGTTTGGGTGACATTATGAGAGAGTTTTTTAACATTTACCCATTAATTACTAAAGTTTAATTTTCTTTTCACAAACAAACCGCTTCTGTCACATACGATAACATTTTAAGTATAATTCTTTTGTAACGCTAAAGAAGTATAACTTCTTACGTGCTTACGTAAGCGAACACACACGTTTTTCTTTTCTTTGGACGCAATACACGACTGTGATGTTTTGTCAAATGTTCCGAAATTGTCCGAAAATGTTCCGCGTCACAATGAAACTAGCAGTGTTTGTTGATATTAAAAATAGGAATAATATAAAATTGAAGTATTGATTTTTGTGAACGATATTGATTTGGGCCTATGTATATTCAACGTAGACGTTGTTTGGCCTTTTTCTTATGTTAACATTTGGCAAACGACTAGGCGGTTCACTGCTGTCAAGTTGTATTTGTATTGTATAACTGATGATACGCTTTCAGTCCTTAGACTATTAAAGCTTCATCGAACGCAGAATCGTTGGGCTTTGACTGTTGAGTTATCACCGCCGCAATAAAACAAGGAGGGTATGCGTTCGTACATCATTCGTACATCACTCACCAGAGAAACGTTAAAGGAAATCCACAATGTTGGGTACAGCTGATATAGAAACTGGACATGCCTCATAATTATTTAAATGTATTTTCCGCAGTCAGTTCACCAATAAACTGCGTAGAGACAGTGTATTAAAATCGAAAGCGATAGACGCGCGTGTACCTACATCTTCACTTATCTACCTATACGCTTCTGCGCCGTACGTAGATGAGGTATTACGAAGTCCAATGTAATGCGAGCTTTAGAAAAGTCAACATTGATGTTTCTTAGATTCGCATCTTACTTTATAACTTTCTCAATAATTTAATTTAGCGGAGTACGCGCTCCTATCTGCACGGGAAATGGCATCGACCGCGATAACAATAAATGTGATACATGACACTTTAAAGTGAGCAGCGTTGTTAATAAATTACCTATTTATTTAACGGTGGTAGGGCCACGCAGCAGCCTCGGCTGTTGCACGAATGGGCAAGCCCGTCCGGGTAAGTACCGCGACCTCACTGACCAAGACCGGCGTGAAGTAGAAAGTTAGTACTTTCGCGTTTTGCCCGGTGAGTGAGGTAGCCGGTGCCCGATTTCCAAAAAGGTTGTCAACGCATTTGCAAACCGAGGGTTTGCAGTTATCCTTGGGCGGCGGTATTCACTCAACATCAGGTGAACCGTCTGCTCGTTTGGCAACATTTCATATGAAAAAAAATAGTATATTTGTGGATAATTATGTGGCAAGGGAAATTCGCGCTCCATTGGCCGTATGTTGATTAGGCCGTGTAGCGCGTTTCTCGATGTAGCTGCACGCCCTTTGGAAGTGAGCTCACCAAACGGCGCCGCGCCGTGCACTCGCAACATAGTTTTCCTTATTAGCCTCGAAGCCAATTGATGCAGTTTGGCGTTTGGCGTTTCCAGCCGTGCACCAGATCTACTCCGCATCGGTTCTACTTACAATGTCGACGTTTTATTTCAGAGTTTTTAAAAGATAATCTGGTGTAATAATGAGCATCAGGTGCTGCTTCCGTAGCTTTGATACTAAAAAATTGTTAAAATAGAAAATGGCAAAACAAAAAGGAAATGTTAAAATTGTGTTTTTTTTTATATGTCATATATAATTTTTACGTGAAAAGTTTAAAAAAAATCTCACTGATATGGTAAATTCTCATTATTTAAATATATAATTTCGCAACCGTACTGTGATAATTATTATGTAAACATTTTTAACAAGATTATGGGCAATTAAAAATTTTCACAATTACAAACTTGATTGGCGCAGTCGCGTCGGGGGTCGTGGGTTCGATTCCCACACGAGACAACTATTTGTGTGACCCACAATATAGTTGTTTCGTATCTTGGTGTTTGTCTGCGTGAAATTTATGTTTGTAAAATGTCCTTACAACACAGGATAATATTATCCTAAAGTAAGGGCAGTGTAAAAAAAAAATATAAACTTAACTTTTACTTAATGTAACTTAGCATAATCAAAATTGGGTATTTATTCAATAGCAATACGTTTCGTAATAATTTTGTTGGCTATAACAATTACTAGGTTAGAGCGCGTACAGGGTCACTACGTTACTGCGATTAAGTGTAAGCCCAAATATTGACGACTGGCTACCGTAGCGTATTGCGCTTAGCACCTTTGATATTTACGGCCGCTGAGATCAACTTGAAATGGTCAAATATGTGATAACTAAAGCGAGTTGGCACCTCATTAACGTCTACCCGCCGCACTGCCAACGGCAGACGAGGCGTCACAGATGACTAATGGCGTCGCCGTCCACTTTCCATGCGGCGGCAGGCCGGTGCGCGGCATGTCGGCGGTGGTGGCGGGCGCGGGGCCGGCGCACGCGTGCTTCTTCGCCACGTACGAGCAGAGCAAGCACACCCTCGGCCACCTCACCAGGCACCGCCACGAGCACATCACCCACGGTGAGCGAACACGCCCAGGCGTCGTACACATTGGCCTTTCAGGCTGACCTTGCGCTCGTGTTTTGTTTTGTAGACCCTATGTTAAGTGATCACCGCAGCCCCTGGACATCTACAATGTGTTGTAACCCTCAGCTGTGGCTGAGGATGTAGATGCGTTAAAAACGTAGGCCCCGGTCACCTCACTCACAAACAAACCGCGAAGTATACTACTTTACTGTGTTACTTCCCCGGACGAGCCTGGAAATGAATGCTTGTTACTGGAAACCAGCAGTGGGATGTGTATAGGCCGTTACTTTTACTGGAAATAATACGAATATGAAGAAAAGTGCCACATAATGTCATCAAGGCAATAATATAACGACAAGCTCGACAGCTCTGTCACAAAAGCAGTTCGTTTCAAATATGAATCTCTGAACATTGCAGGGCTTTCTGGCTGCCTGGCGTCACTCGTTCACGACGCGGTCTCAAATCCAGCTGAGGGTGAGTATTCCTTTACGTTCCCTTATTGTATAATTTTTGTTGAGACATTGTTTAAACAGTAATGTAGCACCAAAAGTAATTTTACAAAAGTAGGTATTCCAATCGCTAATGCGCTAGTTTTTAATTTGTATTAAGCTCCCTTTAAAACGCATCTACTAATGTGTGCAGTGCTTCCGTGTATTTGTCATTTGCTTGATCACCCTCCGGAATATATTCCTGTTTCTTATCTGAACAATCATCTCCCAAACACCGAAATAACTAGCGATCTTAACTTATGCGTATATATTAATATTAATCAAAACGAAGACTACCGCAATTGTTGGCAGTGCTTGCTTAGCGCACAAAGTTGATGAGTGAAATTAATGAATAAGTACCTAAATGAAAAATGTCAGCTTTGAGTTGTCCCGTGGATCTTTAGTCCGTCAAAGACGGCGAGTGCTTGCTGGGTACTGGAGCGATACGAACGCAATTTCAAATCAGTTCAACTACCATTGGTAGCAGTTGTATGTACGAGCGTCGGGTCCGTCGCTAATTCCCCTCACAATGGGCCAAGTAGCGCTTCCGGAGTTTAGTGTATGCAGTCTTCCGCGGGCCATTGTGTCCATCTGCGTGCTCCCTCCATTTCGATCGGTCTAAAATTCTGGACTCTACTAATGGTCAAGATTATAGTGGTCTATGACATAATTATGGTTAAGGCAAATTCATGTTTTTACGTCATATTCCGATGACTAGCAACTTATATAAAATAGACGCGATGTAGATTATACAACTAAAGGTGAAATAAATCAATATTTCCAATTGAATTTACATTGGATTACGTTCGTTAATGCTAGGGTCAAGTACGCGCCCGATTCGCTTGTCCATTTGTTTCTAATTAAACCGTAATAATTCCGACCTACGTTCGGAAATAGAGCATTGTTTGCGTCCATATGTTCAATTAGATCAAATGACGGTCTGGGTCAAGTCTTTTCGTTTGGTCGGTTATATATTAATATATAAAACCGACCAAACGAAAAAACCTTAATAGGTTTATGATAATAAAAGGAGTTTTTATAAACTACATAAAATAAAATTATTATTTTTTAACAAATCGATGAGCCATTCGTAGTGCCTATCTTTGTTATGTGTTGTGTGTGGTGCGGAAGAGACGGCATATTTAACGAGTTAGGACAAGCGTCTATGGTTTTGTTGTTGTTGTTGTTCGATGGGTTAATACAGGACTCAATTTACGATATTTTTAAAATTTTCCAATTTGATATTAGTGCATCACACACATATTATAGTATCACAATTGAATTGAAAGCTGCAGATTTGATTTGCAGAATTGAGGGTCATTGATAAGACATCATGACATTACCAGAACAGAAGGGAGCAAACCAAAAGCACACCGTGTCTTCCGAGCATACTAGATCCTAAAAATGTTGAATTGGCATTTTGTGCTGTCTTGATGCAACGATGGCGGTCGTAGCATCAAAAGGAATGAGCAAAATATAACGCGCCATTACCGCTATCTATGGTCAGAGACACCGAGGTCAAAAGAAATAGATCGATCGACGCAATATTATTGAGAAGTGTTTGGAAGGAAAAAGTGATTCAACTATAAGAATTTTTAAGAAGAACTAGTAACAAAAGAAAATGAATTTTGTACATATATAATTTCTAAAAGGTGTTTTGATGTCGATACGCCAGAATTCCCTTATTTTTCATCAAATTTAATTATTCAAACATCATTTTAAAGCTTCCGCTAATGACGAATATTTTACAAGTAGATTAAAATAAATGTTTTATTAAAAAAAACTGTTTTAATGTTTAATTAATATAAAAAAGTATTTCTTATAAAGAATGTTTGATGAAGTAGAACTATTGACAATATGTTTAATTGAAGCATAACGAACAAGAAAGCATAGCGAACTTCAAGAAAGGATACTTGTTTACACATTACTAGATTACCATTCGGTCTGGTCAGCACCGTGACGATTCGCACAGTCAATTACTCTGTATTATTATAATAATCTCTAAAGTCAAAGGTGGTAAAGTGCAAGTTGCAATTTAAAATTTATTATAATATCCAGAAATTTATTCGGTGGTAGGGCCACACGGCAGCTTCGGCTGTTGCACGAATGGCAAGGCTCGTCCGGGTAAGTACCACGACCTCACAGAAGACCGGCGTAAAGTGGAAGTATAATACTTTCGGGTTTCGTCTGGTGATTGAGGTGGCCGGAGCCCAATTTTCAAAAAGGTTGTCAACGCATCTGCAAACCCTCGGGTGTAGCAGACGTCCATGGGCGGCGGTATTCACTTAACATCAAGTGAACCGTCTGCTCGCGTGGCAACTTTTGACATAAAAAAAAAATTGAGCGCGCTGCAACATACACATCATAAAAGTGAGACTTCAAAGAAAACCTAAATAATCAAATAAATACAATGCTACACATGAATAACACAACGCATACAGCGTCTGACGCTAACAACGCTACAACTCTATCGGTTTGAATTGATATTACTCTTCTCTCTCAGAAAATATGCTTATAACGATATGTAAAGAAATGTGCCTAAGCGTGAAGAGTCCATGAAAGTTTCATCGTCCGTTTAGCGAATCGCCGCATAAGAGGTAAATTATGTATAATATTAAAAAGTATTGTGTGGACAGCTGTCGATTTTTAATCTTTATTAAATACATCTACGACCGTTGCGGATGTAACCTTAAAAATACCGCTTCGGCATCTTAATGGAGTAGCACAGCAAAAACCTCCCCTCCCCCTCCTGCCCCTCCCCGGCCCCCCGGCCTCTGCATCTCGCGCGTGGCGTCGACTCATGACTCATATATTAATACAATATATTCCGTGGCCTTGGCATCATTTGTCATGTAAATAGTCCAACCCGGAGCGATAGTTGATATTATAGGCACGCGATAACGCCTCCCGTCGTTGCAAACGCCGAGAAAGGAACGGTGTTGTCATTGTACCATGTGTACGACTTTGTTGCGATATACCTATCTATATAGTGCGATGACGCGTGGAACATTCTCATCTCATTGCGCTGAACGCAGTCAACGACTCCTATTATATCGCCCCTTTGCTAATGCGATCATCATCGGTAAAATATTTGCGACGCGAAAGATTGAATTCAAGTTTTTCTAGAACGTAGAGGACGGTGTGCTTGCGTTCAATCATTTGACAATACACGGAAGAGCCATCTGATTTGACAGCGGAGGCAAACAACGCGCAAAAGACAAACCGGAAGCTCCAGTTTGCCATGTTTGCCATGTTTGCAAAAACACAAGCGGCTCTTCGCATTATTTCCTGGCAGCTATCCGCCCATCCCTGTTGCAACAATATATGTTTTTTGTTTGGATGTTGTAGTTATTAATGCAGGTTTACAAATTGTAATACGAGAGCGAGCTTGATAAGTCTGCTAGAAATCTATTTTGGAATAAAATTATCGGTATTTGTATGAAATTTCCACGTTCACAAATCTTTTGAAGGATTAAATTAAAATTATTCAGCCAATAACGCTGTCAGTGTGTCATTAAAAACTATTAATGAAAAGAAAACAATAATAGGCAATTTCGCAAACATGGAGAAAATTTAATGTGTTGATTGTTGATTAGACATTATTTTTGCGCAAAAAACTTGCAGAAACGAAACATCTATGTCAAGTCTACTTGATAAATATTATGGGAAATCGGTTTCGATTCGTGTTGGTTTACTTACGGTATGGTTGTACAAGCACAAGCGATACTGAAATTCCAGGTCGCCCCGTTAAAGTCACTACATCAATAATGATCGCTAAACTCCAAATAATAATAATATATAAAAAAAAGAAATAGTTTCGAAAGACCCAACAGTAAAAGCGATATTGTCCATATAGAAGGCAAACAGACCAGACAGACCAAGGCGTGCGCAATATTTAACAACAATATTTATAATGTAGATTTATGAAGACGCTGTTACTGGCCATCCTTTACTGACAGCATTTGGCTAAGAAGAAAATTCTTCTTCATCAAGACAATCGATGTATCTGATGAAGACCGAAATATCATCTGGGCCATGGTGTGGCCTAGATGATATATCGGTCACATCGACACGTTTGAAGACATCAAGTAGCGATGCGTGGAATGTATTTAACTAATTTTGATTTTTATATCAATCATCTTAAAAGCGACCTTCAGAAAGGTACCCAATACTCATGACACGATAATTCCTCACACGTTTGCGTTCCGCCATCGGCAGTGGTGAAGCAGCGGCTGCAGATGCTGCACTCGCCGTACCGCAGCGTGTGGGAGTGCGCGCGGCGCGTTTACCGGGCGGAGGGGCTGCGCGCCTTCTACAGGTCCTACGGCACGCAGGTTGCCATGAACGTGCCATTCCAGGTGTGTGCGCTGTTCAGCTTTGGCCGAGCAACTGATATTCGAAAAGTTGTCGGGTGAACGTAGCCCCTCTAGGAGACGGGAAGAGCCATACGGGCAGTCGGTAAGCGTCGGTCCTCGGTACCGCAGGCGGTGCACTTCGTGACGTACGAGTGGTGCCAGGCGCGGCTGAACGCGGCGCGCTCCTACGACCCGGTGGCGCACGCGTGCTCGGGCGCGTTGGCGGGCGCGCTTGCCGCCGCCGCCACCACGCCGCTCGACGTGTGCAAGACGGCGCTCAACACGCAGGAGGCGACCGCCGACGGGCTGGCGCAGGCGGCCGCGCTCGTCCTGCGCACCTCGGGCCCGCGCGGCTTCTTCAAGGGCGTGCACGCGCGCGTCCTCTACCAGATGCCGGCCGCCGCCATCTGCTGGCTCACCTACGAGACGTTCAAGCACGCCCTGGCCAAGGTGAGTGCCGCTAGGTGGCGATAGGTGGCGATAGGTGGCGATAGGCCTCGAGTGATGGGAGTGATTGGTTGCTTGCCTTTCGTGTCAGACGGAGGGCGGCGGCGAGGAGGGGGCCGCGAAGGCCGAGCGGACGGGTCCGAGCAGCGGCGGCGTGGGGGGCGTGGGCGGAGTGGGGGGCGTGGGGGGCGTAGGGCCGCCGCTGGCGTGTGCGGCGCTGCGGCTCGCCGCGGCCGAGGTGCCCCCCGCCGCCGCCTCATCGCTCACGCGCACCTAGCCAGTTGGACGTTACGTTGTTACAGAGTTTACACTATGAAAATATATTTGTTTTTTTTTTTTGTAAATTTTTACGGGCCGCGGCTCGCACGGTTCTTATTTCGGATTCGATGTCTGTGATGTTCTTTTAATATTTAGGGTTAGCGAGCCGAAACGATACTAGTATGTGCAAAACACTCGACCGTTACGACTGAATTCAGAATGTTTAATGAAATGAAATCGAAGATATTTTTAAATTAATATACAGCGAAAATTTAATAGTGTTTTTTTTTGTTTTTTACATTGACATTTCGACGTGTAGAGTAAATCATCACAAAGTTTGAACTTTACCACTATTATAAATGTCGCACCAAACTTGTACACTCGTTTTGTTTGTTTGTTATAAATAATGTAAGCGAGGTAGTATCGGTTTTCGGGCGGACGCTGAGAATTGTAAACATTGTATTGTTAAATTTTTAATGTCTGTTAAAATCGTGTCTTCGGAACGCTTCTCGATAATTTTCATGAACAGAAACGATTATGTTAAATTTTAAAAATTCGACGATATTGCTACGCCTGTATTCAGAGGACACGATTTATAACAAGTTCGACGTGTTGCCGCCATCAGAAGTTGACCATCGAGACTTTGTCGGTTTATAAAACCACGGGTCACCGCTAACTGGTCGACACCAGCACACGTTCCGCTTGATACGTTAGTGATATTAATACTAATATTACCGTTAGACTTTAATAATGCACAGTGAACTTCATCGTTTAGGAAACTACAATTGTAAATAACCGTGGAGGTGGGAACGGACCACGCAAAGTACCCGGGTACACCTAGTCACTTTTACACGCCACTGTTTCTTTGCCACCGGTAAAGACGGAGGGGCCTTTGCACATAGAGGCGAGTGGCGCCATCTTGTAATGGCTCACGCGCCGCAATAATGAAAATAATGCAAGAACTGTGAACAGCGGGGGATCACTGAAAGGTGCGAGAAGCATTTGTCAGTCCCTAGCGACATTTCGCGATACTTCTGTGCAGTTCATTTTTCAGTTCAGAATAAAAAGACCCGTTCAGATTAAGTTACCCGTGCGTTGATATATGCAGACAATGTTTTTGTTAAATTATGCCCCTTATGTTGTATAGTACATCTATTGTTACATGTTCGCTTCGGGAATGAAAAAGTTATTATAAGTTGTGTTTTATTTTATGATTATTCCTTTATGTGACGTGTTTGTGAGGTGGATGGTATTTGGCCACGTTTCGCTCAATATGTTGAAGTGCCCCCGCGTTTGGGGGCGCCGTATTTGCCAAGTGTGCGACTCGAGGCCATGTTTGCGAAAACCACTTCTAAACCTTCTATTTCGTTTTATCGTACAGAGTTTATACTATATAGTACATAGCACTCAACTTTTATTGTAATACTACATATTATATTAACGATTTTTATTATTATTAATCACATTATTAGCTTCCATTTAGAGGGCCACGCGTCGCGCACTGCGCATATATTAACGGAGTGTGTGCACGATTCAAAATCATTTGTTGTATTTTATGTTACAATTTTTTGCAATAGCCGTACATAGTATGAGTCGAGCAGACAGGTCGATGGGGTGCGTTGTACGTGGGTCGCGGAGTGGGGGGGGGGGGGGGGGGTCGGTTTCGGCATCCGAGGGATGGGAAACTGATGGAGGTGCTAGTGTGTGTGTCAGGGCACGCCGCCATAGCGCACAGTGGAACACTGCGATCTCTTGTGTGATTTGTCTTTTAAAAGCGATTTTAAGGGCACTTCACACTACAACACGCAAATGTTTATTTATACTCTGTTTGATGAAATGATATTGATTCCCTCTCGCAGCTAGTGAATGATGGAATGAGGGTGACTAAAAAAAGGGGAGAAAATACTGATATATGTAAATATTTATTGTTGAATTGATATGAAAAATGAAATACAATTCCGTCTCCGCTATGGCCGCGTGGCCAACGAGCGAAGCTCTACGTAACCTTAGGTTATAATATGATTTTTTGTACATTGCTGCGATTATTTGTATCTGTTACGTTAGTTGTACAGTCGTCGGCTTGTAGAGCGAGCGGTGGCGACGCGCCGCGCTCAACGTTTCAAGCAAACGGAACCCAATAGAATAAACAGTTGGACAATACGACCGTTTTTTATTTACAACCTGTGGTCTCTTTTGGTGACAGATGGAAAATGTTTTTTAAATTTCGGCTAAACTGTGGACTTAATTTGCTCAAATGTAGCAGGACTCAAGCCCAAGTTATGGGGATCGGCTTCACCTGGCCTTGGTTTGACACGAGGGAATGTCAAGTGGCAATTTCTCCGCCTAAATCAAACAAATATACAAATTTTGACCATTTTTGTTAATAAATTGTGAAACCGCTTTTTATTTTGCCTTCTTACTTACAATTGTGATATAGTAACATAACTTATATCATTCTGTTTCCCATTTTTCTTTATCTATAACCTTTCCTTTCTGACAGGTTGGTCCTCAATCATACCCAGTAAAATTTCAAAGGCTGATCGTCACAAAGTTCTCGGTACGGATGGGATTGCTAAATTGAACATGAAATAAATTGTGCAAATTTTAATGAAGTATTAAATTTATACTTTAATTGTTTATATTCCGTGTTTTATTATATGGGTACAGTTTTAGTAGTATTCATATAATTTTTGTACAAAGGCTGAGTTCACGTGTTGGGTACACGTTTTTGACTACGTTGAATCATGAAAATAATGCATAGAGTCAACAAGATCCATCTTAGTTGAAGTTTTTAATACTTAGTTACCTCTGCCAGTTATGGCCAAATTGACATCCGCTTTCAGTGTTGGAAAATGAGATATTCTTCGCAAATATTTCTGTTTGCATATTTTGTTTATTGTTTTCCATGCATGTCGGCTAATCTGTCTGGTTTCAGTATTTTTATTACAAATATTTTAATATTTAGTTATGAATAGTTTGATATCCGACATTCACAATATTCTCTTCAAACTGAATCTCCCTATTATTTAGCTTTCTCGTCCTTCGCTTGGCGGTGGTTGTTTATCTGGTCCGCTGTTAAATGTTTCACTTTCTCGCTTGGTACAGGTACATTTTTGATAGGCGAGTATTAATAGCAAATAAAATTTCATAAAATTCAAAATATCTTTATTCACATAAATGCGCGTATTGCGCATCACATATTGCGCTTTCTTATAAAACGTCAAATTTTTTTTATTTTTAGTTTACAATATAATGGTATAGATATAAGTCTTATTGTCACATGGAAGCCAGACGTTTGTTAATTATTCTTGGTTACCTATAATGAGATGGTCTATGAAACGAAGATGGGCCATTGCTCACTCTAGCCACATATTTCTTTCTGTACATGTTCTCTGCAGAAAATTTCTTTGTTCACAGAAAATTTCTTTAAAGCTGGTGCAACAGCTTTGGAATGACAAAACAACAGAAATACAGCGAAGTTTTTGGTCACATCGGGTTTAAATTAAAATTTTTGCTGAAATTACTAATTTTGAATTAGGTTGCGAAGTTGTTTTTTGTTTGTCGGTTGTATATCTTCTATTATTTTCTTGTTGCTGTCTTAGGCTATGATGACGTGGTTAAATTGATGTGTGACTGTGCATACGAAGGCTTTGTTATTTGCGAAAAGTATAGCTCTAATGTTCTCGACATTGAACAACTGCTATGCAATTTGTATTTTTGCGATGCTTCTCTTCTTCGCTTTTCTTTCTAAATCATCTCACCTATAAAATAAAATAAATATGAAATCAATATTATTTTATTTTATTAATGTTTTTATCGTTATTTTGGGTATTTTTTCTCATAGTTCGCTCTATCCTCAACCCTTTTAATCTCTCTCTCTTCCTCTCTTATCTTATACACATCTTGCACCATTTTGACTGCAGTCTGCTCGTCGTCCATGCTGTCGATGTAATCATCCATGTAATGTTGCTGACAGATCGCAGTTACAGCAGACAGAAACGATGACTCGTAGTGCATTGCATTTTTATTTTTTATAAACTGTAATAAAAGGCGAGCAATTAGCACCGAATATTAACCTCCTGAGTCCGAGGGTATGATATTATGGTTTATTGCTTTGATTTTTGCAACATTACCTATTTTCATGATATAGATTCAAGGAAAAATAAAATAAAAATTGAAGAAACTAAAAAAAATGATGTTCTATATTTAGGACATCAGTTTTAAACAACTATAATCGTGAATTTTTGATGTACTTAATTTAGGATATTCGTTTCTAATAACATATGAATCGCGTTATAGGGTAGGGTGGGGCAAAGATCCGCAATTTTAGGTTTGTAACTTTTTTTCTCACCCAATAAGTAAAAAGTCCCACATGTTTTGGCTTCACTGGAAAGCTTAATATATACTAGAAACGACTGATCCCCATTCATGATCGAGAATGTCAGGCCGGTCGGGCCATTTCCATAATTTTCCAGCTTTCACCATTGACGATACAGTGGCATGGGTTTTTGGAAAGCCAGTAATAACTCCTGGAAACAGTTTTTCTTCATAGCGAACGGCACGAAATTCGCCTATGCACCGCTTTGGAGGCACCATCCACTCAGACGATTCTTCCATGTTCTGATCACTGTCAGATTCTGACTCGTAGACAGAAGTTCCAGATGAAATAGACTGAGACTGAAATGAGTCATCTGAATCAAACTGAAGTCCACGTCGTGGCTTCTTCTTCTGCTTTGCTGCCATCATGAGCTTGTCTTTCCGTTTCATTGCATTTTTAATTTTTCGATCTTCTTTTTCTTGGACCAATCTTTCAGCTTGTAATTTTTTGTCCCGAAGGGCTTTCTTGTGCGGAGAAGATGTTAGAAGTGTCGACTTTAAACTTCTTCCGCTCCGCTTACGTCGTGTTGCTTTGGGAAGAGGTGTTATATCTGCTGGAGACACAACTGACACAAGAGGTGACGTGGAGACAGGTCCAGGAGACATAGTACAAAGAACAGGATCAGGCAGCCTTGAAGGTCCAGGAACAGGGAAGTCGAGAGCGGAATCGCAGTTATCGTTGCCAAAGTCTAATATTGCTTCTTGGACGAAATCTTCATCGGGGCTTCGGTCAAGTACGGACGTAGGAGCCTGAGGCAGCACTGAAGGCTCAGGAACAGGGCAGTCGAGAACGGTATAGCAGATATCGTCGCCAAAATCTACCATTGGTTCTTGAACGAAATCATCTTCTTCCAGACTTTGATCCGTAACCTGGCTCGGAAGAAAATCAGCATCTGAGAAAACCCCGGGGTCCAGGGGAAAGATTCCCGTTGCGCGGAAGGAGGCAGTTGCTTTTACAATGGTAGCTGTTCTTTCATAAGCCCGATTAAAGAGCTCGGCGACATGATAAACTGTTATTACCTGCCCGGGGTGGGACGATTGCCACGAATCCGTGACCTGGTTATTGATTCGATTGAAACATGCGAGGCATGATTATCCAGGATAAGAAGGACAGGAGCTTCCGGAGTGGGTTTGGCATGTTCTGCAAAGTGTTTTAACCACTTAATAAATGTAGGTGTGTCAACATACCCCTTGTCAGTGACCACCATCTTACAGCCGATCGGGCCATTTTTAATTAAAAGAGCGTTTTCCCTCTTTCTTTTGAATATAAAATAGGGCGGAATGTAGAATGTAGTATGAGGCAGCAGATAACTGTGACTGTTTGGCCTTGTTCGGCACTTACATTTTTAGCTACTTCTTTCTGGCCCTGGTCGGATACAATTTTCGGAAGTTTGTCTGGAACAGTCTGAATACCAGTTTCGTCCATGTTGTATATGAAACCAGGAGCAAACTTGTATTTTTGATAAGCCGATTCTAGGTTAACAAAAAAACCTTCCACTTGATTGCGATTAAAACCCATTTTTCGGGCCACTGACGTTTTCCTCGCAGTTCGCAGACTTAGTTTGTGTCTCTTCATGAAAGAAATTGTGTAGTCCTTCCCTGCCATTCCCTTCTCTTTATTAAAGAAGTTTCGAATTTTGTTTTCTTCAGCATATTTGAATATAAGAATTTGGAGCGTTTTGAAGGAAACACCATAAAACATATGATTCAAGGTTCGGCAGTGTTCTACAATATCCTTTTCCTGCAAATTAGTGAATGTTGTTGTGAACAGGCCCAGTTTTTGGGCGCCGCCTTCGTTTTTCAACCTGTAAGAAATCAAATCGGCATTCAGAATAAAAGATCTAGTTACCTATTAAGTGGTTAGTAATTCCTAACTCGTAACTCCATAATTTACTAAAGAGAGTAACCTACCTCTTCCGTACAGTTGATGCATCGAATCCTAACTCCGCCCCAATTTTTCTAATGGATAGCCCCTGTTTTAGCATTTCTTGGGCCTGCAAGTACAGTTCTGGTGTGAACGGCTTCTCATTAGTTTTGCGTTTGTAGTTCCTATAACGTAAAAACAAAAATTAGAACAGTGAATATAAATACACTATGTTTGGGGCAAACATCCGCGCGCGGACATTTGCCCCAAGCAAAGTGCGGGCCTTTTCAACTCAATGTCAACACAAAACTAACCTAAAAACAAGAGATTCGCATTTGGCCAAAATATTGTCCTTAGATCCCCTTTCAAAACCTGAATTATGGAATTGAACCAGTATAGAAGTCAGCAAAGCGTACAGAATATACATTTTCAACTGAGGATGACCTAGGGATTATTACATCAAAACAAGTAAAAAGCATTCTCACCTCATTGTTATTGTTGTGCCGGTCGCGCGCCAAGTAACTTTTGTGAGTCGTCTGCTATCAATGTTGCCAACATAAAAATGTGCCTAAAACCACAACAATATTTGGCGGTCATTTTAAATTGGGGGTGCGGATCATTTCCCATTGCGGATCTTTGCATATTTGCCAATATTGAATGTCCATATCTCGAAAACTACTTGTCTAAATTTTCACCAAACGTTCTAAATGTCTAATTCAATAAATAATAAAAAAATCTATGTTGCGTATTTTGTGTATTTGCAGAGAAAATAGATCGACTTATTCTATTTAATAAAAACCTTTACTGGTATTCAGAATTACAAGAAGGTAGGTGTGCACGGTTACAATTCAGATTTGCTATTAATCTACAAATAAGTGGCATCGCTAATTACAACTCGTTTATGTGATTTAATATACCTAACTCGTTCTTATTGGTGGATCACAGCGCATACCCACGACGCGCAATTTCAAATACTTCAACAATGATCGCATCGACTCCTGGCAGCTCCCATCTTCTTCTGACGGTCATTCGTCGTGCAGTGGAAGAGGAAAGATTTTAGAAAAAGCTCGTCGTACAATGCTGTTAGCTTTGCGAATGTCGGCAACTCGTGAGATGCCGTCTTTTCCTGGATAGAACTTGACAATCCGCCCTAAACTCTATCTCAATCGCGGCAGGTTGTCATCCTTAATTAAGACTAAGGTATTTTCTTTTAGGTTTCCTTTGCTTTGATACCATTTGCTTCTTGTCTGCATCTCTGAGACGTATTCTTTAGCCTAGTGACTCCAAAAAATGCTGGCGTAATTGTCCCACCCTCTGGTATCTGGTAAGCCGATTGGCCGGAACGTCTAGGAAGTCAGTGGTCACAGGTGTAGTCAAGTCACGACCAACCAGAAAATGAGCTGGGGTAAGAGGGAGAAAGTCGTATGGATTTGTAGACATAGGACTTAAAGGTCGGGAGTTAAGGCTTCGACTTGGGCAAGTACTGTACTAAACTCCTCGAAAGTCTAGTGTGCATTGCCTACTATGCGTTTATTATGGTACTTACAGCTGTTTACACTTGCCTCTCATAAGCTCCCAAAATGGCTAGCATAAGATGGAATAATTTTAAATAATTTTTCAAGATAGATAACTACCTTGAAGATAGAGCAATACGCGACGGTGTGGAGTCCCAAGTTATCAAACACGACTCAGACGCGATCAGCCCCCCTACTGTTCGTCTCGCTACTACCCCACCATGAGTTCCATGCATTCATGTCGCCAACAAGCACCACGTTACTGCTCTCCAGATCATTCCAGACACATTTTCTGTGGTTAGCTCCGGGTACTGGGTGATGTTGATATCTCCGTCGAATAGCACAATAGCGGCCTTGACCACATTACCTGTGGTCTGGTTACCGCAGTATTGTACTACTCTTGTCCCTGGATAGTTTTTCATCCTCCCAATCCTCCCAATGTAGGGTTCCTGGACCATGGCGAACGTTAATTTGGTTGCTGCTTCAGTGATCAACTCAGGCGTTGCTTGCTCGCTACGTTGGAGGTTGGCTTTTGCGACTCGGAACTCGGTGGTTGGTCCGGCTAGATTTCTAGACTCTCTTGGGGCAACCTTAGCAGTAGGCTACAGTTGCCCTCGCCAAGGCAATCCCACTTCTTTCTAACCGGACATTCTGTGTTGTATTTAGTATATCGGGTCATGCTTTGCCTTGATGCAGTTCCTACATGATGGTACTTCGCCCGCTAGTCTGGGCACTGCTCTGAGGTGTGGGCCCCCGCAAGGACTACATAAATCCTCCAATTTCGTGCAGTTTCATTAGAAATTAAAAGAGAGTGTTTTAATACCAACCACCAACAAAAAAAAAAACAATCAAAAAATTACGAATGTCGAGGGGTACTATCCCATATTATTTTAATTTAATTAATAATAAAAATAAGAGGACTTACAGTGAAAAAAGTGAATGTCTAAAAAATAAAAAAAAACTCCCAATAAGGGTTTATTCACTTACTATTTCAAGCCAGTAGACAAATCAGAAAATATTACAATATCCCTTTCGTTTGTAAATCAAAGACTTCAGCTAATAAAAATATTTATATTACATCCGAATATTGCGGATCTAGTGTCAAGATTTGAAAAGAAAGAGAATTTAGGAATATTTTCTATGGATGATCTTTTAATGAGACTCACTGAGGATCCTGTGTTAACGAGGAAAGATAATGTTCGTGATGTAATGTTGGTCTTGAGTTTGATGAATGGTATGAATCTTTTATTTGAATTTGAACTAATTTCGTAAATTCTATTGTTGTTAGTGTCTTTATTGTTATTCATGGTTGTGTTTTCAGAATGAAGGTGTTTGTTTTTTGTGTTTGTACATTTCGAGGTTTAGTAGATTCAGCGATTGAGGAAACTAAACATTGGATTGTCTTGAGGTATTATTTTTCCCGCGAGATACTTCTCAAGAAAAGATTTTAGTTTAAATTGTCGGTGTTGTCTACTTCATCAACCCCTTCTACAGGTTTAGCAAAATTTCTTTGTTGATTGCCACTAGTATTGGGTCTATTCGGGTAAGAATTTATATTGTACCGATTATATGAGTTATTAGAATTTCTAAATCGGTTGTTATTAAATTCCCGCTTCCTACAATTTTCTAGTGTATGTCCGGGATATTTACAATAGCGATATATACGTTTGTATAATTTTGTATTGGGCTTATGTCTGTGATGCTGAATAAAGGCCTGAAATTCGTAGATGGGCGAAGTCGAGTCTGTCTGAAGTTAGTGGGTGTGTAACCTCCCTACCTGGCTCTACAAGATATAGGATATAATTGGAACATGGATAATGCTTATAGCTAAACTATATTAAATGGAGAGAGATATCACCAATTAGGTATAATTATAACTAGATTAAGAGTTGAGAGAACATTAAATTAATAATTACTGTTCCATGGCTAGCTTAATAGCTAGTTACAGATTGAAACAATAACATACCAGAAGGAAAAATATCCAGCCTTGCCTTCCTAGTTTCCAAATAAGGGTGAAGACCTCAGCAGTCCTCACATGCCACCAAGGGGCCTTTAGCTAGTCCGCGGCGTCAAGTTGCATGTGGACAGCAGAACCTCAGATTTTTAATAAATATGCAGTTGCATACAAGACGAACACGTGGTTCGGTATCAAGCAATCAGACCCAAGATAAAAACAGCCAATAGAGAAAAGCAGATCAGAGAGATACGAGATGAAAAAAAACCCAACGACGTAGGTTTTTTATATTTGTAGTGACTTCTTTGAGGATATTTGTTGGACTTTTTACTCGGAAACAGCGAAGGACACAGCATTCAAAGTGTCAATCACGACCTCGGACAATCGTTGATAGTTGAGGATGAAGACCGTTAATAAAGCTAAATCCTGCATAGCGGTGACTCTGCCAGATAGTTCGCCCTTTTCTTAGTCTGAATTGAAATGTTAATTTTGGTTAACAATTTTTTCAGGTTAGGCCAGTTTCTGTTCGGAGTGCGAACTGTTTGACGGACTCGTTATGTTTTTGGCTACATTCCTGAAGGTCAGATAGAAGATGTGAATAGTGTTTGGATTCACCGAATTGTGTTTTTAAAAATTCTTCCAACTGAGCCCAATTTTCGAAGTCTTTTATCGAGTAGGCGAGTGCGGCTCTGCCTTGTAATTGACTCAAAATATATCTAAAAAGAATATTGCATTTCGGCAGTTAGTTATGAAAAAAATCAAATTTTCGCGGTTTCCATCGTATTTACTTATTAATTTAGCAAAGAAGTCAAGATCAAGTGAAACCGTAGCTCCACTGATTACAATGTCGTCTTTGCCCATTTTTATTTTTTATTACTTAAACGGGTTAAGGAAATATTGTTAAGAAATATGGAAATAGAAATGGAAAAGATTTCTGACCAATAGAAGTGTATACAATAATAAAATAATGTAATATAGAAAAATAATGGAATAAAATTATAAATGTAAAAACAATATGTTGATTGATATTCACGATCACTTCTCTTCGTTAGGGAATTGGCAGTTCAAATAAAAACATTAAGAGTTGCACTCACCCCTCGCCCCTAACAGATCGTATTTGAATAAAAATAAATAATGAAAGAAATGTTTATTTGGTACAAAAATTCATAAAATAACAAAATAACAATGAAAAATTATCAATCAATGCATCAAAATGGTCACCCACTCAGCATAACATTGCGAAAAAATTTCGCGATTGCTGGTTTTCAGTGGAGCCTGGAGACGACGATGACAAAAAAATTTGGAATACTTCACGATTTTGCGTGTCATCTTTGAGCAGGAATTAAATAAGTTTGGCTTCCTCATCGACCTCACTAGTATTAACGTAGTTCACTTTCTTGCACATTCTACGCAAGTGCCCCTTCCTATTACATTTTTTGCAATTGCCGAAGCAGATTGGGTTTACCCACTGGTCACTATATGCTCGAACGGTACTTCTTGCAGATCTTTGGGTACAACCAAATCTGAGGCTAGCTTAAACGTACAATTGATGAGTGCGCTGAGAAGTACCGCTCAGTATCGCTCGACGTTTTACCTCTGCGACATCATTTATGTTATTCGCATTGAACCATTGAGTAATTCGTGTTCTCAATATCTACCATGCTTGTATTTCATAGTTAAACGTCGGTAACGCCCCACAGGTGAACGAAATTTTTCTTTTTTTTGTACTTAACGCGAGTACTTCTCGTCGTCAATGGTATATGCGATGTACGGACCACAGGGGACTAGTAAAACACTCAAGAGCTGTCAACGCATTGTCTTTAACTGGTAAACAATATCGGGGTCATGTAAAGTCATGTAGCCCCGCCAGCGCCCTACCGGCCGCCGGCACTTCGCCGTCGTTGGTAGCAATTACCAAATACTGTTGACATTTTTTAAAATATCGGATTTTCGATATATCGATATTTCGATATATCGGCTTTATTTAAAAAAACTCGTAAGGCTGCTCAAAAATAATTACAC